AGAGAGAGACAGAGAGAGACAGAGAGAGAGAGAAAGAGACAGACAGACCGACAGACAGACAGACAGACAGACAGACAGACAGACACAGACAGACTGTGTCTCACTATGTACTTCAGACTGGCCTTGGACTCACAATGTAGCCCAGCCTAGCCTCAAATGCATGGTGATCCTTCTGCCTCAGCCTCCTGAGTACTAGCATTACAGGCATGTTCCACCATGCCCAGCTCAATGGCATATCTGTACACCAATTGTGATCCAGGGAGAGAAAGTAATCAGGTAGACAATTCCATCCACAATAGCTTCAAAATTAAATATGGAAGAATTGATCTAACTAAAGAGGTGAAAGGGATCTATAATGAGCATCACAGTACCCTGAAGAAAAAGTATGAGAGAATAGAAAGATCTAGGTGCAGTGGTGCACACCTGGCACCAAGGGAGGTCACAGCAGGAGGATCATAAATTTGAATCTCATCTAGACAACTTAGTGATTTAGTGAGATTTATCTCACAAAATTTAAAAAAAAAAATGAAGCTGGGGAGGTAGCTCTGAAGGAATGCACCCCCCTGGTTTCAACCCACAGTATTGAAAAAAAGGGGCAGAGGAGAGGCACTCCTTGGATGAGCAGGATTAACACTGCTAAAATTACCATATAACTGAAAGTGATCTATATATTTAATGTGATCCCTATAAAATGCCAACAATATTCTTCACAAAACTAGAAAATAAAATCAAAATCCATATAGAATTAAAAAAGACCCCAAATAGCCAAAGCAATCCTGAACAAAAAGAACAAAGCTGGAGGCATCATAAAATTGGATTTCAATTTATGCTATCAAGCTAAAATAATAAAAACAGCATAGTACATGACTGAAGGACTAAAATAGATTTGAAGACCAACAGAATAGAACAAAAGATACCAAAAAATAAAAACAAAAACAAAAAACAACTACGCATCTACAATCATTTCAGTTTGTCAAAGGGGCAAAAAATGCATACTGAACAACAGCCATTTTAATAAATGGTGCTGGAAAAACTAACCATTTGCAGAAGATTTCAACTAGATCCATATCTTTCTATTGTACTGAAATAAAATACAGTGGACTTCGATATAAAAACAGAAACATGGAAAGTGCTGGAAGATAACATGGGGCAGACACCTAAAGCCAGAGGTGCAGGCAAATACTTTCTGAGTAGTACTCCAATCAGATGGGAAGCAATAGCAAGAATTATTGAATGGGGACATCAAATTAAAATCCTTTTCCAAGCAAAGGAAAACAGAGTGAAAAGACAACCTATAAAATAAAAAAAAAATTTGTTAGCTCTTCTTCTGATAGAGGATTAGTATCTACACTATACGAACCACTTGAAAAATTAACTGCCCCCAAACAAATGACTCTTTCAAAACTTGGCAAATGAATGGAAGAGACATTTGTCATGGGGAAATATTCAGTATCTTTAGCTATCATGAAAATGCAAATCAAAACAACGTTGAGATTCCATCTTCTCCCAGTCATAATAACTCATCTAGAACACACACACAAAAAACAGTGAACATTTGGGAGAACATGAGGAAAAACGAGCACTTATACATTGTTGGTGTCAATGTAAACTCGTGCAACTATGAATATCATTATGGAGATTCTTCAAAAAACTAATGGAAATTCCAGAATGTACTCTGGTGGGCATATTCTCAACAGAATTAAAAACTTTATGCTATGGTGATGCATTCATATTCATGTTTATGGCAGCGCAATTGATAATAGCTATGCTCTAGAAGCAATCTTGGTCCTTCATAACATGCTAAGTGAAATAAGTCACACTCAGGATGTTACATAGCAATTTTTTTCTCACATAAGAAACCTAAAATATGAATTAAATGAAAAAATAAAATACAGTAATGATGATAGGAAAGTAGAAGGTAGACTATTGGAAATAGGTAAGGGGATAAAGGAAAGAACAAAGGGAAGAGGGTTAAAAGAATTAAAAATGAGAAAGATATATCTCATGCAGGTACTGTTTACCCCAGAATGAACATCACTATTATAAAAAAGAGAGTAATCGGTTATGATTCACTTTTTAGGGCAATCAGCCTCTCTGTATCCTAAATAACCTTCAACAGGTAACACACACAGACACACACACACACACACACACACACACACACACACACTATTGACTGGAGGTTGACAAATGTGGAGAAGAGTTAGATGGCTGGTTGTAATGAAGGCTTAGATGGTATTTAGGTTGCACATCATAAGATAACAAAAGGAAAAGAGACTCTTAGAAAAGGAAGTGTCTTTGTGTAAGAAAATACTTTGATAAGTCTTTAGAATAAGATGATAGCTTGAAGACATACATAGCAAAAGCTAGGGCCATGACATATGCTTTAAGGCTGGAAGGAATGATAATAGGAATTTGTCTATCTCTGAAGAAGAGGAAGAACAAGAAAGGAGAAGACAGACAAATGAAGGGAAAGAAAAAACAGGAGAGAGCAGGGTGGAAAAGTGGGAAGAAAGAAAGGCAAATAATAAATAAGGGGATATGACTGAAGGACTTTAAAAGAGAAGGAATTGTTAAGCAATCTAAAAATAGAAAAAAATAGAAAAACTGGATGTGATGGCACACACTTATAATCCCAGCAATGGGGAGGCTGAGACAGGAGGATCACTGCAAGTCCAAGCTGTGTAGAGGGACCCTGTATCAAATAAATAAATAAATAAATAAATAAATAAATAAATAAATAAATAAATTTGTCTTCTTAACGAGCTAAATTTTACAAGTCTAGAAAAAAGAGATACTGAGATGCTTTGTAACAATGCATAATATGAAATAATTTAGTAGAAGCAAGAGCTAGTTGTGAAAGAAAACAATCCTTTAGAAACTTACAGAAATTTGGAGTCAGGTTTTAAACAAAGGAAGAATATACTTCAAGTTTTTTGATTTAGCCCTCCTAGGAGGAGACTGAAGCGTACATCCAGATTCCACTTACAGATACAGAATGGGAAATTGAGTCCCAGTGTGCTAAGGAAATTGTCCATGGTCACAAATTGAAGAGATTTAGGCAAGTCTGGATTTATAAAGTCATGATGAAGGACATTTTGATAGCAGTTAAAAGCAGATTCTGGAATTAGAGAGTCTAGATTCAAATGCTGGCTCTGCTACTTGGCTATATAATCTTGGGCACATTACAATCCTCATATATACAGAAATTGTTCTTTCAAAGAATTTTCTCTTCATAGCAAGGAAAAGGTTTTTTTTTTTTTTTTTTTTTTGAGGAAGCGGGGATTGAACTCAGGCCCTTGTGCTTGCCTGTGAAGCACTTATTCCACTGAGCCATCTCCCCAGCCCCTAGAAAAAGTATATCTTTACATATTGTTGAGAGAAGTAAATTTATGTGTCCTAATGACAGTTCCAAATTTCAAAATT